GAGCCCAGCTTGAAACATCTCTTAATGCCCAGTCTAGAACAGACATTCACTCAGGAGGGGTCACACTTGCTCATTTACAAATGAGTCCCTCTCCAAGACCACAGAACCAGCTACCAGGTAGTGGGTAAGAGAGAGAATATAGAGCCCCTAGGTGCCAGGCATTACTTCGGGTATTGAGATAGGCATTACCTCCCTTGGTCTCCAGACAACTGTAAGGTAGGTGGTATACGTCCCATCTAGCCTGAGTGTGACAAACTAGGAATCTAAGACTCGGTGAGGTCATGGCGTGTCAGCGGCAGGGCCGGGACTCCCAGCAGAGCCGTGTGACTAAGTCTGTGCCTCTTCTACGGCTCACCTCACACGTGGAAAGGAGAGCAGGAACAGGGAAGCGCAGACAGAGGACAGTGGCCGCCGCCAGCCCGCTTTCCTGGCCCACCCGAGCCACACAAAGGAGGCTCAGTCCCTGCGCTACCCACAGCTCCCATTCGGGCAGCCCGCCTTCCTCCTGAGCCTGGCAGCAGCCCTGGGTCACTCAGCCCCCGGCAGGGGACAATGACCACACTGTCGGAAGCACACGTCCCTAGCAGAGCAGCAGAATTGTCGCCAGGGATCACCTCCGCCCACTCTGGACCAGCCCCTTCCTCCCTGGGTCAGGCTCACCCAGAGGACCTGCCCACCCCTCCCTGTGACTCAGGGCCAGGAGTCAGTTTTTCCCGAGGTTCCCGCGTGTTCCCCACCCCGACACAGGCGCGAGCCTCTGAGCGGTTCATCACACCTTGCAGCTCCCCTCACTTCCGTCTTCCCCAGAGGGAGTTGACCTCTCGCCGGCTGAAGTTCCCAGGCCTGCAGAGGCAAGGAAGAGGGGGTGGGCTCTGGGGCTGGATGACGTCGAGACTGTTGGGGGGGGGTAAGGCCTGGGCTGGGAGGAGCCCCAAAAGAAGAGACAAATGACGGACCAGGCAGCACTAGCCGGGCAGGGAGCAGTTAAGAAGGGGACGGTAACCTGATCTCGGCCCCTAACCTGGCTTTTCCCCTCCGTCCCACATCCTGTCAAACTGGGCTGAACTCGACACCCCACATACCACCAGCCACCTCACACCCCAGCCTGGGTCTGCCTTTTAGGAAGAGAATGCGCCAGCCCAAGGCTGGCTCTCCCCCACGGCGGGATCCCGGCGGCCCCTCCCTCCCCTCCACACACACATTCACAAAACCGGGTTGCAGGGGAAGCCGGCGTGAGTCAGAGAATTTATAGGAGCTGGGAGTGCACAGACACACTCCCCGCCACTAAGGGGGCTTCTCCCATACCCCAGGAACCCGGCATTCACTCTGCCAGCGGGTCTTCCAAAACCGAAGCCATCCTCCGAAAAGGGGGCTGGCTGGGAATTCTGCCCAGGCCACTGACACCAGGATTTCACGCCCCTAAGTTCGCCTAGCCCGGCTGTGTGGAGGCAGACGAGAGGGCGCGGCCTGGGGGGGCAGGGTTGATGGACGGCAGTCACCGCTACCAGGATGAACACGAGTCCTTTGGGCATGAGGATGCCGCTGCTGTCCCCCCAGCAGGGCCGTCCAGGTGGCACCGGGTGTGGGGGACAGAGGCCAGAAGCCGAGGGTAAGGGCAGGCGTTCAGGGACTTGGAGCCTCCAGCTCCGTGCAGAGGCTTGGAGGTCGGGCCAGAAGAGCAGGCGGCCCAGGCCAGGCCAGGACACTAGGCCCAAGGCCAGGATGGCACGGACAACAACTCCCTGTGAGAGGCAGCCCCAAAGGAACTGTCCCACTGACCCGTAAGAGGGGCAAGCAACACAGGGCCTGGAATGGAGCCTGGAACTTATGGGGCCTTCCCCAGGACGAGCCACTCTATGCACCAGACCTCTCTTCAGTCGTTGGCTCGATTTCCCAGATGCTCCGGAGGGGCGGGCTGGCCTTGCGACCACCCTGGCATCTGGGGGGAGGGGGGACACTAGTCTTCAGAAGACACCTCATCCTCAGCTGTGAAACCAGACACGAGTGCGGGAGGGGCCCCAGCCCAAAGGCCCAGGAAATACCCTGGTCCTGGTTCGAGAAAGCGAGGAGAGGGGAGATCGTGACACACACACATGCGAGCTGGGTCCCGACCCGTCTCCCCTGCCTCGGCACCAGCAGACTCCAGGAACCGTCCAGGGCGGCGGCCGTTCCCAAGGGGGGCAGCCCGCC